CCAGAGAGCAAAATACCTGAGAATAATTTAAAAGCAGTAAGTTATAGCAACACTTTTCCAAGTCTGTTTCAATGTATGATCCTTAAAAATTTCCTAGTGGGGCTGCTTTGGAAATTTCACAGGTACATAGATTACTGTGAATGTAGTTCCTGCTCTTGCATCCCTTAAAAAGGAATCCCTGTTCAAGCTCAGAGGTGAACCCATAATAGGCAGAAATACATGGATTCAAAAGCAGTGGGATCCTCAGGAAAGTCACCCATGAACYTGTCTGGCTATTACTGCCTCAGTCTTTGTTTTGGACAAAAGCCGAAGTACAATAACTGTTATTTTTAAACTTTGAAAGGATGCCATACAAGATGTAAAGGTGTTCCTTGTCTAAGGAGATTTTCTAAATCTAAATCTAGAATTTCTAAATCTGTTTTTTTCACTAATTAGTGCAGCTACCAAGGAAGCATGAGCTCACAGTTCAGTCTGGGGCTCACTAGCTCTGGAGTGTTTCTGAGAGTCTGAAGCTCCTCAAGCTTTGCCATAAAAATCGTAACATGGCTGTGCATCTATGGGACAATTCCACAGATAATAGCCTCTCATTTTGTGGTGAAAAGCCTCATAAAAGAAAATTTCAATGCTTGTAAAATAAAAATTCATATTGCTTCTTGAATATTTTTTCTTCCTGTGGGGAGTATCACTAAACAATAATAAATTGTAAAGATATTAAAAATGAACAAAAAGAAGTGTTTTAGGTTTATTTAGGCTTATACATCTTTGAAGTTGCAACTTTTGAAATGTAAAATAAAAYATTCAAAATTATCCTTGTATGATCAGGAAAAACAAATATTATTTTCCAGTTCAATATCTTCATTATCTCCTGGGCAATATTTCTGGTTTTCATTACTGCTGTCCCACTGATGCTCTCCATAGGTCAACTTTCAGCTGAATGCTGCTCACAGACACGTTCAATCCATTCACACATGCAGTATTGCAAAGGGGGTAAATGATGGCAAAGCCTGACACTGGGATTTTAATAGCCCATCTAGCTATAAAGCATCTAAATTTAGATTTGTGTGTCAAAGTTTTTCACACCACTGAGACACTCTTGACAGGGTAATATTTCCTATGTGTGCAGCATGTGCCCACCCATCAACACTGTCTTGATCCTATTGTTAAAATCATTGGAAACCAAAAAGAACAAAATAAAACAAAATACTCACCCATGAAATCTCAAAATAAAGAATGGTTTATTTCTGCACCGGATAATTCACTGCAGCGAATGGTCAGTCTTTAGTTCAAACAGAGCTGTCAACATCGGAATTTTTGCTGGCCATTTTGAGACAATTTCAGAAGATTTTAATCAGTATCAAAATCGGTTCCTATCTTCTTCTACATGGCCGTGCAGAGCAGAGAGATCACCTTTAGGAGGAGCCTCAACCCCTCCTATAGAGCTAACAAAACTCTCAGTGGCTCCTGCAAAGCTGTTAGATATTACAAAATGCRGTTTCATCAGCTAAGATGCTGAAAAAGAAGGAAAACAATAAAAAGCAACCTCATGCAATCTACTCCACAGTCTTTTCTCAAAATAGTCCACTGTATCTAACCCTCCTGTGGTGGATGCTTGTCTAATTTGCTCTTGAAAACTTTAACTGATGGTGCAGTAGTGGTTAACACAAATATTAAGAATGAACRACAAAATCTCTAACATAAACAGCCTGACAGAAATAAAATGGAACCAGAAGCAGTGGAGATAGAAATCTGCTGAAYAGTGAAAGCAGTTTAGAAACAAATGTTGCTGTTTTGAGGACACAGTAAAGAATAGTAAATTGGTTCTCTAGGGAAAGGAGAAGAAACAAATTTGTTTAGGGGTGATCACAAGCGTGGATCTAAGAAAAATCAGGATCAGGCTTAACTGAAAGCAGGAAAGGGCAGAAAGCTGAACAGAGGTTTAGGTCTTACAAATCTAAGCCAACTCTTCTAATCTGTTACCTTTGTTGCTCCCACTACTGTAAACACAACCGTTCACTTCTTGCACTCCCCTCTTGGATCAAGGCAGGTGAGGTAGAGATGCACTTTATTCTGCATTAGTCCCATTATYTGTCAGAGCCTTGAGAAAAGAAGGAATGTCCAAACTGATCCTCAGTGTCTGGACTCATCCTTTGTGCCATTTGACCACTGGCCCAAGCAATGTCTGTGTCTAATTTCACTTCTCCAGTCAGCAATTGATCTCAGTGCCAATCACCCTAGAGGTGAAATGTTTCTTAATGAACAATCTAATTCTCCTTTYCTACAGGTTAAGCCCCTGTAGGCCTAAAGAAAATGTGATTCCATTCCTCTTCACAGAGTTCTCTAAATCCATTGAAATCCATGACTGATATCTCTGCCCAATCTTCCCAATTCCCAAACTACACAGCTCATATACTGTGCTTTTCCACATGTCAGATCATTCCCACTTTTCTCTCACTTTGTTCCAATCTGGCATTTTTTTCTCAAAGAATGGAAAGGAAAACTCAGCCTGATACTGCATGCTCACCAATGTGAAGTTGCAAGCAAAACTATTTCAAGTGCCTCCTCCTCCTCCCCCCTGTTAAACATGCCAGATGCAAACCTTTTTCCCCAGCAATATGACCCCTCCGAGGAGTGACTTAATCAAACTTGTTTRACTTGAACTGCCGTGGAAAAGGAGCACGTATGGAGGCAGTCGGTGCACTCAGCAAGGGGGCAATAGGGGAGTCATTTAGCAAGAGGGATTAACACAGTTGCTTATTTAACTCCACCTCGAATGTTCACTCCCTTCAGCATCAGTCACGTACTTCATCCCCTGCATGATTAATATGTCCAGTGATGACTGAAGAAAATGTTACTAATATTCTGGTCTCCTCTGCCCACAGTTTGTTTTCTCCCCCTGTAAAAGATGGAAGGATTCTGCCTCTTACAGCTATTGTCTTTAGACTGGATGCTGTATCTTGTCACATCAGTTTGTAATGGCATTTTAGTCTCATTTTACTGCCCTGGCCTGTTAGATTAGGCACCTGCTACTCTTCCTCAGTAGGTTCTGTGTACATCCCATTTGTATCCTGTCTTGCTATTGTTCAAAGACACTTCTTTGCTGAGGAGCCCAGCCCCTAGCCAGTGATTTTACCCATCTGATGGTTTTATTACTGCTTGTTCAGAAAAGGAAAAAAAAAAAAAAGAGTATTAGTGCAGCTTGTAAAACTCCAAGTGATACCCTTCTTTACTYTTCAGATGAGGACAGTCTTTGAAAGGACATGTTTTTCCTGTTATCCTTGTACATCAATGTTTGCATTAGTTAGGCATCTGTGTTTGTATTAGTTACAACAGCTGCCATGCAAATTGAAGCTCTGGTGCTGCTGGAGGAGCTTGTCCTTGCAAAACACACTGTCCCTGCCTCAGAGCTGTGGCAGGCCTTGCATGTCACCTCRGGGGGCTGCTCAGCAGTGCCTGTGCTCGTCGGACATCTCTGCAGAGAACTTTGTGAAGAGGCATGTGACCAGAGAAAAACTAAGTTTCTGCAAGACMTAAATTTCCACCTCCTCCAGACATTTGTACCACAGCCTGTTCAGAACAATCCCTCAAGTTATTGTAATTTCCAATTGACTTCTAAGGGACACTCTCCCTTCCCTTCCATAGACAGAGGTAGAGACAAATAATTTATTTTCTCCCTCCACAGTAGGAAAAGTATACACACCAGTTTTTTGACAATACATAAACACTTGTAAAGGACTCCTTAAAAATGCACAACTTTGCAGAAACCACATCAGCTGTGCCTCACAATCAACCACAAGATACAAATCCAGGAAGAAACKGCCTGTTTGGAGTCCAGTGCTCAAATAACTATTTACTCTCCCTCATTTCCTGCCCTCTATGACACATTCTCAGGGACTAATTGCAGAAGCAKAACAAAACTAAATGCCTTAGGAAACAGAAAAAGAAAGGGTTAACATATGAGAAGGACCCCTACACACTTGCAAGACCTAAGTAGTTTGAGGAGGAAGAGATAAAAGTCTGGGCTTAGCTTTCCAGGGGTGAGTTTGTTGGTCTAGAGGGAGCTCTGAGGAAAAGAGCTATTTGTTTTATCAGGCTGCTAAGCAGATGCTAACCAAGAGAGCAATTAGCCCTGGACCAAAATAGTTGACTTCTTAATAGCTGATAAAGGCCCCAAAAGCTGAGGACTGAAGAAAACATCTARCAGGTGTCAGCCTGCCTGCTAAAGAAACCAGGACAGTAAGAGGTACAATGAGTGGTCCTTTCTGCCCTAAACAGGCTGGCTCAGGAAAAACAATCCAGGCAACCAAGTAACTGATTATTCCTGACTCTGGGGGTAACCTGACTGCTGGTGGCAAGGACTGGAGTCATTCCCCTGATCAGCAGTGGCAGTTTCCTAGTGCAGACCCTGGCCCACGGTCAGGCTGCTGCCTGAGGCAGGTTCTGATGCTCCCGGCTCTGGTTTTTTTCTGTATAATAGTTGTTGGACAGCCGTAAGCTCTGGTTCCAGAGCCCAAAAGAGCTGTGTTTGTGCCCATAGGATGTGTGAACAGGAAACTCTGCCTCTGTTCCTGCGTAGTAAACAGAAGGCACCGCCCCCTGCCCGCAGGAGTAACAGTAAACACCTCCACTACTGTACACACTAATCCGAATAAGCTTATTCACAGGCTCTAAAATCAGAATCTGAGACGCTTAATCTGTTGATTTGCCCTAATGCCGGCAGGCTGCAAATGAGATTGGCTTCCACTGTTACTATATTAGCTGTAACCAGCTAACATGCAGCGTGTATATCTCCCACACGCACTGAATAAAATTCCTCCTGCTCTGTTCCCAGGTAAACCATACGGCATTTTATGAACAAATCCCCCTTCCCAAGGCATGCTGGCTCCCTGCTCCTCAGGGATGCGGACAGGCGCCGATCGGCGGCGGGGCTGTCCCGGGCACGGCTCCGGTGGTGCCGGGGGAAGGCGGGGAGGGGCCGGGCCCGGAGGAGGAGCCCCGCCCGCTGCACTTAAGCGCCCTGACCGGCGCTGCCCTGGGGCCGGCGGGCCATGGAGGTGGCACGGGATTGCGTGGGATCGCTGCTGCGGTGAGTGTGGGGACGCTCCCGCCCCTTCTCCATCCCCTTCTCCGGTCCGGCTGCCGGGGATGCCCGAGTCCGAGCGGCCCTTGGCCGGCTCCAGCGCCGCCGAGCAGAGAGCGCGGTGCGAGGGCGGGCAGGGCTGGGGGGATTAACCCCGATAGTGTGGGAGAAGCGGGTCGGGACGCTGTCGCTGCCCTGCGAGCCTGGCTGAGGCTCTGCTGAGGGAGAGCAGGTAGGTAGGAGCCCTGCAGCCTAA